GCGCAGCTGTGACAGCGCCGGGAGCAGCGGAGGCCGAGGCGCCCCCGTCTGACCCGTGTCCAGTGGCCGGGCTGTAGTGGGCCAAGCGCCGCGGCCTCGCTGCTGGGGGCGCCCACCCGATGACTCAGGGCTCGCTGACCCCTGTGCCCCCCCCAGCAGGCAGGGGCCTGGCGCCGGGCCCGGGCCTTGCCCTGGCTTCACCTGTGAGAGGTCCTTTAAAAATAGAGACTGAGGAAGGGAGGAGTGTTTGCGGCTGCACGGTGCGGCCTGCCCGATTCTGTTCCTCCTTGAATGCTGGCGCCCAGGGGCAGCGCAGAGGCTGTGCTGGCCTGGGGGAGGTGGCTCTGAGGGAGCAGGAAGTGAGAGCCCAGTCAGACTGTTTCTGAAATGGAAAAGGGGGTAACAAGGCGGATGCTTTACCTGCCAAGTGCTAGAGGCCTGGTTCTCAATCTTCTTGGGCTCAACCTCTGTCTCCCTTGTCCAGGCCTTGTTGGGAAGTGGCAGCTCTTCCTTTTCACTTGTTTTTAGACTGTGGAAACATCACAGAGCAATAATGTTAGTCTTGCAGAGAGCTCGGAAAGACCACCACAGGGCAGGATGTTGTTTGCACTGTGGGTTCCTGTTTGAAATCTCTGGGTGAATTGGGCTTGCACACCTCACAAGGCTGGAACTCCAGGCACCCCAGGTTGCTTCAGCACCCTGGTTGAGATGCAAAGTACTAGGTTCTCTGTTTTACTAATAAGATATAATGATAACAAGCTAAATATTGCGGGCGCCTTAAATCAAAGTTATTTCAGTATTTATGTTCTTAGACATTGCTGTCTGTTTAAGACAGTGTTGATTTAGAGCTATGTCATGTTGAGTTTTCAGCTCCAACCAAGTATTTTGTATTCATGGTATTTGAAATGATTTAATAGTAACATGGGTCCTTTGAAATCAGTTTAGTTTTAAGCTATAGTGGACCATAAACGAATAGGTTAGTTTTTATATTGATGTCTACATCTTAAGGAAGAGATGTGAGTGAAATAACACAATGCATTTTTTTTCCTTGAGGCAGCTTAACATTAATCTGTGATCTTTATTGTGGATCTTTCCTTTTAGCATGGTGTAAATATTAGTCTCATTAGCTACAGCTTCAAGTTTTGAGAAGTGATGTGAATTCAAGCCCTCAAATTGGTGATGACTGGTTCTGTAAAAGTAACTTTGTTCAAGTAAGGTCCATTAGTTCTGATTAGAGATAATAGCACCATTGTTTCTTGCTGAAGTGAATGAATATCTGGCGCACAATTTATAATGCTGTGAAGCTGTTCTTGGTAGAACATGCTGAAAGTTGGCAACTATTACAAACATCAAGGCCCAGATTATGCAAAAAGTTGAAGTAAAAGGTATTATCAGATTGGCTGTAAACGAAAGTGAGTAAGGTAGTATAGTAAGAGGGAATAGGGAGGTACATCCCACTTAAACTGTGCAGAATTAATATTAAAGATGGTGAAGTTGATTACCAGTTTCTTAATGTTTACTATTGCTCTAGGGATTTTAAAGACAGAAGTTTTAATATAATTTGATAATGTCACTTAGCTAGCTATCTCAATGCAGTTTATCCAACACTAAAAATATTACAGTTGGTTAATAGCATGTGGTGGTTAATATCCTGCAGTATACTAGACACTACTTATTCTGGAGGCCTGTTAAAACTCTATAGTGAAGCTGAATTTTCTGTTTTTTTTTTTTTTTTTAAGGTGGCCTTTGAGTATTATCTCTAACTTTCTAAAAATTAAAGGATCTATCTGCAGGGTTGCACACAGGTTTCCCTCCTGTGCTTCTGTATTTTTGTTTTTCTTCCTACTTTACAAAGTATATAGTAAATTGCACAATGCGTTTCTAAGATTGGTGAAGATGCAATTCCTCAAAATTAAATTTGTTTTTAACCCTTTATAGCTTAAAATTAGCTTGAAATTCCAAAGCTGTCTTCTTGCAGAATGCTGTTGTGGAGGATGCTGATTCTTATCATTTTTTTTAAGTATGTGCATCGGGCTAAGCGTGCAGTGCCATGTGTACATTATGTGTTTGAACTTTGATCATATAATGGATTGCAGTGGTCAGGGTTGTAATTATGCATGAATTGGAAAGTATCATATAGCCTATAGGTTGAATCTGGCTTATGTGACTTGTATTGTGCAGAATCTAAGTTATCTTTTTAATATGTGAAATTTCTTAACTACTGTGTCTGAAGAGAACATACCAACTATAATTTGTTTGCTTGAGTCTGCAGACAGCCTGAAGCAATAACTCTGTTAACTTCTCTATACCTTCTAGCTTTTGTGTTAATATTAATTATTCCATTGCTGATTTATTTTAGAAGGTGGACTAGCAGAACTGAAGCCCCTTGTGGTGGGAATTTGGAGATACAGGAAAGGAAATACAGAGAGGTGAGAGGGGGAGTAATGGCAAAAGGAGGAAGCAAAGCGGCAGAAATAATGGTGGCTTTGGGGAGAGTATATTTTCTCACTGAGTGGTACTTAATGTGACAGTACATAAATAAATACATGGTTTCATTAGCATAAAACAATACTTGATTTGTGTAAGCCATCCACTTATGTCTGTGGAAGACTTGCTGTGGACTGAGGGGAATAAGAGATAATGAATTTAAATTTCAGGCCTATGGACTATAATAGAATATGCAGTCCAGCACTCTCCTCAGTATGAGAGAGTTCTTCCAACAGCAGAAAAGTGTCTGATATTCAGGTGAATTATAGCCTTGTTCTGCAGCCTGCCTCTCCCTGTTGGTTCATTGACTGCCCTCTCTCTCAACAGAGAACTGTTTATGGAATGTCTTGTCACTGCAGTTGAGGATTTTGGGGAGCAGCCTAAGTTAATTTTAATGGAGGTGCTACCAACCATATGCTATAGAGGGACAGAATTAAGTAACTTGTTTGGGAAGGATGGGTCAGTATTGCTTGGGAGCATAGAGTTAAGGCAGCAAGATAGTGAGGCTTTTGGGCTCATACATTCAGGGTTATCTGAACAGTGGGAGACTAGACATACTAGTTTGTTTCATGGGGATGAGATGGGGTGGCAATGGAAATATCAACCACCTAAGCTAGAAACTAGTTCTTGGGCATCATCTGAACTAGAGGAACTAACAGAACCAAGTATATTTGGAAAAATCAGTTTTCCAAATCATCATCAGTTCAGAGTACGATAAAGTACAGCATGGTTCAGCATACTACAAAAAAAGTATGTGCCTTTTTTTCTTATCCCATATTTAATAATAAAAAGAGAAATCTTCACCTTTCACAGACAGTAAACTTAAACTTTTGTTATTAAAACATTTTAATCTGTGTATATTTCTAATTCTTTTGCATGCTGTTAACTTGTAACCTCTTGCGTGGGAAGTTGAGTTGCATCTCCTTCTGGCTGACATTCAAACCATTTCATTGTCATGTCAAGTGCAGCACGAATGCGTACAAATGGTATGGACTGCACTGCATTGTGCCATCTTCGACTGAATCACCATCTGCTGAAACTTTGTGGTTGATACTGATACAAGAATCTCATCCTTATTCATTAGTTGTTATCCAGGATCTATATCATCATCATCATGTGGCCAGTTGTTGACATTGCCAGTTACAATCACTGCAGCTGCTCATGTAACGAAGCATTTCCGTGATCTTGGAGTTTCATCAGGCTCTTCCTCATTAACTGATTCATCAGCCATAATGTCTGCGGACCATATTTTTTTTCCATATGCATAGTGTTGTGGACAAAGCTGGTTTATGCATCAGCAACCATGTAAACAGTTTTTTTATATTTAATTGTTTGTGTGGCTTATTCATTTCCCTTGATTCTGTATCATTGTGAAGGAGGCAGTTGTAGGAATTCCTTTTCTGCTGTATCACTTGATAGTTTTGATGACATCTTGGTCAGTCAACTGAATAACAAAAGTTACAGTTGATGGCAAAAATTGGCAGCCTAATTGTACCATCCTCAGTTTTGCACAGCATAGTTTAGGGGTGGGCAATTATTTTGGCTTGGAGAGCCACTTTAGGAATTTGGGTGAGCTGTTGTGGGCTCAGGTGTAAGGGGGTGGTGAACTGGGGAAAGTGATCCTATCTGGGTGCTAGTTCCGTGGGCAGGGATGAGCAGGGAGCAGATTGGGGCCTGGGCCCCAGCTCCATGCTGTCACCACCGTGTAATCTCACCCCCATCCAACCTTCCCACTCATGGGCACTACTCCGCAACTGCATGTGGCCCCATCCCATCTGCTTAGCTGAGCGTGCCCTACCCATGAGGGTCCTGGCAGGTCTCCATGGGGACCCCGCCTGCCCTTGGCATTGGGTGCAGGGTGGATGAGTTGGGGTGCACAGCAATGGGGCTGTGTCCAGCGGTGGCAATGGCAGCAGCAGCCAGAAGGAGCCACCCCTTGGCTGC